AATCCTACAATTCCTACCTCTCCTCATTATCCGCTAGTGATAAATCCCTCTGGAACGTAACCAAAAAAATCCTTAAATTCCAGTCCATTTCCCATCCACTTCGCCGTGATGATGGTTCCTGGGCTTCGTCAGATGCGAATAGAGCAGAGGAGTTTGCTAAACATTTATCCTACACATTCACCCCTCACCCCGAACTCCATCCCAGCCACACTGCTGAAGTTGAAGAATTCCTCTCTTCACCAATTCCTCTCTCTCTACCTCCAAAACCTGTTAACCCCTCTGAGGTCAAATTCCTTATAAACAAATTAAAACCCCGAAAATCCCCTGGATATGATCTCCTCACTTCACAAATCCTCAGACAACTTCCCAAAAAAGCAATCATATTCCTTACCTATCTATACAACTGCATCCTTCGCACAACCAACTTTCCTTTGGTGTGGAAACATTCCATAATCATCCTGTTTCCAAAACCAGGTAAACCTGTTAATAACACATCATCCTATAGACCGATAAGCTTACTCCCGATCCTCTCAAAAATCTTTGAGAAAATCCTTCTCAAACGCATCCTACCCATAATCGAATCCCACAACATCCCTTCTCATCAGTTTGGATTCCGCTCAAGACATTCCACTGTCCAACAAGGCCTTCGTGTTGTGGACCATATATCCTCTGCACTTGAAAACAAGCACTATTGCACTGGTGCCTTTCTGGACGTAGCACAAGCTTTCGACCGGGTGTGGCACGATGGCTTGCTTTTCAAGCTCAAAACCCATTTACCCCAATCCTTATACCTAGTCCTCAAATCCTACCTCTCAAATCGTTCCTTTCAAGTCCGTTGTGACACCGCATTCTCCACTTACTATCCAGTTGAGGCTGGTGTTCCACAAGGCAGTGTCTTGGGCCCAGTTCTCTATATCCTCTTCACTTCCGATATCCCTTCCAATCCCGATACATTTCTAGCTACATTTGCTGATGATACTGCCATTCTATCTTCCCACTCAGATCCTCAAATAGCATCTCTAAACCTACAATCTCACCTCTCTTTGATTGAGCAGTGGTGCAACAACTGGCGCATCAAAATCAACGAATCAAAATGCAAACATATCACTTTTACCCTGCGACGCAGATCCTGTCCGTCAATCCTTTTTAATTCAATTCCACTTCCCTACTCAGACACAGTCCGTTACCTTGGCTTCCTTCTTGACAAAAGACTAACTTGGAACCCACATACCAGACTTAAAAGACAAGAACTTAACCGACGATATGGCCAGCTGTATAGATTACTAAATAGGACATCCCATCTTTCGATTGAAAATAAACTTTTAATCTACAAGACCATACTGAAACCTATCTGGACCTACGGACTTGAACTGTGGGGAACTGCTAAACATTCGAATATCAAACGCATCCAATCCTTCCAGTCCAAAGTACTTAGAACAATAGTCAATGCCCCATATTATGTCACAAACAAGACCCTACACCATGACCTTAACATCCCATTTGTCCTCGACATCATCCCAACCAGATTCTCAAACTTTCACCAAAACCTTATCCATCATCCAAATCCTCTAGCTCAATCCCTATCCAGCTCCCTTCATCCCTACAATCCTCCACGAAGGTTAAAACGGCAGTGGCCCAGAGATCTCTTGTAAATATGCTTCTGGAGTCCTGGCAATGGCCAGCTTCTCCACTCATGTCCCGAGCGTCTGTGGCTCTAGTGCCCTCTTTCAGTCTCCATTGGCTTCTAATACCAGTGATGCGGCTGGAAAAGTGGCACTGGAATCTCCTGGAGTCTTGCTTTGCCTTCCACATGTGGGGGAAAAAGCCTGGCTCGGAGATTCTTGGGCGAATGTATATATTGTATATAGGTATGATTGTGTTTATAAGTTTCTTTTTATGTTATTGTTTATTTTTTTTTTTCTTTTATTTTCTTTCTTCATCAGTATTATTTATTTACTTTTTATATTTATATTTATTTCTCTATTATTTGTATATATTGTTTGAATGAGAACTCTTAGCCCTAATACTTATAGCCCTCCAGTGGCTGATTGTATTATTATTCAATAAATAAAAAAAAAAAAAAAAAAAAAAGTTATATAGTGGCGTGATCCTGGCCCGATCCTCTCCATGCAAAACCGTAGGCTTTGAAACAGTACTTTCCCTAAATAGTACTGAACCCCAGACCCTTCATGGTTCTTAACTAAAATAATATTTTGGTAATAATATATAATTGGCATGAGTTGTAATTTATATTATATAGTAATAGTCCGTGCTACAGACCCCTTTTTATCAAAGTATTAACATCCGGTTGAAACTTCGCAAATAGCTTCATCTCACCTACAAACCTACAAATATTTTATTTACGAAAATTATCGAAATTGGGGCGCTTTCAATCTGGAGATCGGCAAACTTTGTCAATTTAATTAGCTACTAAAAACTCGTAATTACCCATTTGCTTTCCGCACGGATCGTAAGATAATTTGATCACAATATCAAGAAAAAAGATGACGTACAAAAATATTGGGCCGTCTATCCTACATAACCTCGTTGTTTTGAAATTTTTGGGATGCAAGTCACGCCAAACGGCTCAGTATTTTTGAAGGCTACTTTTTTTCTCGATCAAATTATTTTACGATTCAAGTATAAATCAAATGTGTATTTATGAGTTTTTAATACCTAATTAAATAGACAAAGTTTCTCCTCTCCAAATTGAAAACACCAGAATTCCAAGAGTTTTCGTAAATAAAATAGTTGTAGGTTACGTTGAGATAGAACTATTTATGACGTTTTCAGGCGGATGTTAATAATTCGATAAAAAGGGGTCTGTAGCACGGACTATAATTTTAATTTTCCGAATTTTGTCTTTTTGTTTTTTTATATTATATATATTTCTCAGATACTTAAGTGAGAATATCTCCTCGTTTAGCTGTAGTGTTAATTGTTTTGTGAAATAGATTATTTTTGTTGAAGAGGTTGGAGAACATTTTGTCGATGGTACGATATTGAGAAACATCCGAGAATTATCTTTCATGAAAAGACTGTTAGTGGAGGCTGACTCATTCGTCGAAAACCTAACTCAGCAAGAACTAACATGACACACTTAGCAACTGCAACGCGTTTCGTTGATCTTTGTACCTCATCTTATCGATAGTAAATATTCTAGGTATAATTGCGCAGCTTAGAATACATTCATCATGCATAAGAAGTATATAGTAAGGAAAGTATTACGAACGTAATAAATTTCGAATCCGAATTTTCGACGGAATACATGTTTTAACGTACTTGAGTCCAAATCATCGAATCTCGGTAAAAGGTCTGAGTATGTACATGAACAGCATAGCTCAAAAAGGAAAAATTCTACATAATTGATTCTATTTACATATGTTTATGTCTGAGATGTTATAGTAAGTTTTCCGCAGAAATTGACCTACGAGAAGCGCCACACATGTAATTTATTTGACACATATTTAAATTTTTTGTCGGAAACGGCTTTAACGATTTTGATTTAACTAGTATCAATGTAAAATTGAAATGTATTTAATATTAGTTAGGTTTTACCCTCATTGAAATAAACCAGCGGAGCCCACAGGCGGATCTACGCGGGAGAGGAGGTGTGGGGGGGGGGAGAGAGATTTCAGACAGAAGTCCTCTCCAGAAATGGTGAAATATAACCATGCTTTATGAAAAAAATGGTCTCCAAAAGTATTATTGTTCGTCTTATTACATTTAATAGGACTTAAATAATCACTTAAACGCCACTTCATGTACTTAGTTTCTTTCTTTCTTCCGAAGTAATTATCGTAATATATATTTACAAAAAAAAAAAATCTTTTGGGACTGAAGCCTCTCTCATCCCTCCACCAAAAATTATGTCCTGGATCAGTTAGTGACGGAGCTTAAATGCCGATTTTTTTTTTTTTTTCTATAAAGTACATTTGACTTTGTTTAATAAAAATAATTGAAGATTTCTCATTTTTAGTAGTAATACAAAATGGATTAATGTAAAATATGAAGCACAGAGTCGTCATAATTTATATTAACTGCCTCAAGTTTGGTTCTATAAGGAAAGCTATTTTAAAGGTTGATTCACTTTTTGAATTTTTTTTTTTTTTTTAATTATACGACCCAGGTGGATATCGAACCCACAATGTTGAGAACTGGGCACTAACCTACGCCCTAAGGAACTCTGCCACCCAGTCTGCCCAGCTTCATACAAGCCCTACAATAATTTAAGCCTTTTATTTCTAATATATTCATTGTTCATTGTGCTTCCTTTTCTATTTCATAATAATTATAATTATATCACAATTTAATATAATAATTAATATATTGTATTCAAGGGGGAATGTCCGGATCAAAAAATAACTGCTTTCACCTACTTATCAAACTACTACCTACAATTGAAAATATACAAATTTTTATATATAAACTAATACCTAATCAGTTAGTTTTTACTTATTTTTTATTCCTATATTAATAATATAATTTTAAGATGAGTTTTAACAAGGAAACCGACAGGAAGCCAAAGGGAACCGAGTGTTATGTGAATTAATTTAAACATAATTGTATAAAAATCAATTCACATAAACATCTAAGATATAATATTTAAGCTGATGGGGTCTGGGGCAACCATTAAACAATAAAATGACACCCCAATTGTATAATTGATAGTAATTGATATAATAAGAAACATAAAAAATAATGAAGTTTAAAAGATCATCATGAATTATTGAAAATTCCTGAGAACATTCAGAATAGATATACTATAATATAATTTAAATGCTGATAAGTAAAGTGAAATATGTATATTTAAATTAAATTGGCTAAAATATATTTATTTTATATCTGAAAAAGAATAATAAACATGCTATTGTATTAGGGCGGCATTTTTTTAAAAATTAATTATTTATTTATTACATAATTATATTTGTTTTTGGTCTTCATTATTTTAACGTAGTGATGTTTGCACTATATTTCATTTTTTTTTTTTTCTTTTCCAGCCCATATTTCCAGAGGATATTCTCTGAGACACCATGCAAACACCCTGTCATTGTGCTCAAAGATCTTAAGGGTTGGGAAGTTCAGGCCATCATTGACTTCATGTACCGAGGAGAGATCAGTGTTGGCCAAGATCAGTTGGGCGCCCTAATGAAAGCCGCTGAGTCGTTACAGGTAGAATTCGTAAAATTATATTCTGCATTTATCATTAATGATGTAAGATTGGTATTATCAAAACTATAAGTTACAGGTCCAACTACTAATTCATATTAATAATTTTATTTATCTTTACTTTTAGTCAGCAATAAATCAAGACAATTCATTTGATTTCATTCTGTTTGAAGTGTTTTAAGCCTAAATAAATGTAACTGTGTTCTTTATCAGCATTCTTTGTACATTGACTTATGGTTTTTTCAGGTGAGAGGTTTAGCTCACACTGAAAGGATTCCTGTTTGTGGGAATGACAAGGAAACTGGACGGGAGAGGTACTCTCCTCAGCAGAATTATGATTCCAGGCTGCCCACACTCCCTCATCTTCCTAATATCTCCTTCACCGAAGGTCGACACTGCTCGTCGCCACTGCCAAGGAGGAAGCAGGTAGGTCTATTTAATCTTAATTTGATCAAAATTTTACATCTAAATGTTATGATCAATAAGTAAAATTGTATTTAAAAAATAAAGGGCTAAATCATCTTATAAAATTTGAAAGTGTGGTAGATAACTCCGTGTCAGTTATTTTAAAATACTATTTGAGGATCTCTCGCTAATGTAATAGAGGAGAAACCAAAGTTTAAAACTATTTTATTATTAATTAAAGACAACTAAATGCAATTATTATTGATTGAGTGAGAGATTGTTTAAAAATAAAAATAATAAAACACTAAGCAAGTTTATTGTCATTGTCAATGAAATCATTAATGTTAAATTTATTATGATGATTCCATTAGTTAAAAACATTAAATTAATTTTTTATAGCATGAAAAATTCCTGTTCTTGATTTCTTGGTTTTCTTTTAACATTCAATTAAAAAACAAACAAAAAAAAAAAACAAGAAATCTTTAGGTCTCATAGTACCTTTAAGGAAAAGTGAAAATGTTTTCAAATATTCATGGAATTCCCGTTTCATTATTACTATTAACAAATATGAAGTCAAAAAAATAATAGTAATTTTCAACAATGAAAATGAAAATATAACCTTGTCTTTCTGAATAACGTGCTTTGTTATTTTTAAATAATACTTTCTTATTGTTTAAATATAAGTATCAACAATAAATAAACATATAATGCAAGTCAAGAGCAATACCACTTTATAATTCCCTTATACTTTTTCTGTTCCTTTTCCACGCTACAGTTAAGGAAAAGTTTGCCGAAAAGGAAGATAGGGCTTCACCACCCTATGGGATTTGCAATGCTCAGAAACATGGGCATGATGTCCCGTCGGTGGCAGGTAAAAATTAAAATGAAAAAAAATCAATATTTTGGCACTAAAAAAATTAAATTAAAGTGAATAGATATGATTTTTGGGTTGTTTTTTTAACTTTTATTTTATTTTTCTGTTATTGGGTTTTAGACCCATTACACATTATGTCAGTTTAGGAGTTGATATTCAAAATAATTTATTAAAGGGATGTCAGTGGTTTAGACACATGGAATTAAAATTCGTGGAAGTTTAAATTTTCATGGTTTTGCTCTTGGCTTGCATAATGTGTAACATTCAAAAATATATTATTTTATTACAATTTAAAAGAGACCCAAAAACCATAGCACATTTTGATTGAAGTAGATTGTGAATCTGTTTTAGATATATTGTTTAATTTAGAAAATGAATAGTTATTTTGTTGTAGATATTACTAATTGTTTAGATTAATCATAATGCAGCTGATTCATAATGTCAATAAAACATACTTTTTTATTTTTTTTTGTAAAAATCACAATCACTTATGTAATTTTAGGCTCGACCACGAAGAAGATCTGGTGATGCAAGTGGACCCCAGGATCTGAGAACTAAAAGTCCCGAACCAAGGAATTCTGAGACCGCAGAAAATTTGAGTATGAAAAAACAAGGGAGACAAGGAACTACACCAACTCCTCCTCAAGTCAATGTAAGCAGAAACTATAATTAACAGAAATTCCAACTTTTAAATAGAATAATAAACTGAATTAAAATAAATTTTTATTATAAAGTTACTTTTCTTAATTATAATTTTATTTTATATTATAATAACTAGGTATATATTAATCTATTTCTTAGTAAGGCAATTTAATAAATTGGATTAAATAAGATTGTGGTGGGTATGTCGAGGATTCTTCCATAGAGATGATGTGTTTTGATTGTGCTATTGTGGAAGAAACAATCGTTGTATTTTCTAATTTATAAAATAATAATTAGCACCTTAAGGTGCTAGTTATCTACTGTAGCATGTTATAGCCTTTAAAATCTTTTCTAGTTACTATTATTCCTCCAATTTTGTATTTACCTGCTGCTGTATTACATGTACTGATACACTCTATATTTCTAAAAAGAGAAAATTGTCCGATTTTAATTAAATTAATTTTCTTTTTCAGATGAAAATGGAAAGTGATGACTCTCAACCTCCAGATTCAAGTCAAAATCAACCTGTTGAATTGACTACTGTTCCTCAAGAGCCAAGAATAGATTTCAACAATACAGAATCTATGGGAATGCACCCTCCTCATCATGTAAGAAAGTGTTAACGAATTGAGATATCTAATCATTTGCTAACTTAAATAAGTATTGTCAGTACCAACCTTAGACATTTGGTGCGCCCAGACGTCATCTCCTTCCAAAAAATTTAATTTATTTCTTGAATTGTTTTATATTATGTAATATTTGAATTTTATTTCATTCAATATGTCTCTAATTAATTTGCTATATAAATGGACTAAAATAAATTATTCTCATAGGCATTTTTTTTTTTCAAACAAATGGTGGGCAATTTTCCTGGTGTCTGGCCCTAAAGCCGACACTGAGTATTATTCTTTTTTTAATCATCCCTTTTTGATTTATTTGGAGATATTAAGCAAAATCATAAGAAAAATGGAAGAAAACAAAATATATTTATGTGCAGTTTATTCATTTCAGAGCTCCCTGAGTCCATAAAGAAGCATTATTTGCCATTTTTCTACTATGCTTATCTCTAGGATTGGAAGACTGATTTTAATACTTCTTTTATTTTTGTAGGATTTCAATCTCTGATGTGTTCGTTATAGATGTAAAACCAAACTTATTATAACCAGGCAGGGAAGTGGGTGGGGTAGCCGAAAGGGCTAACGTATGTGCACAGCATCACCGTTGCTGGGCAACCTGATCTATGACAAACTGATAAAAAAACAGTCACGTGTTTGTATCCCGGTGCCGGAGGAGTCTTTTAAATCCACGCCCTTACCCCCTGGCTCGGGAAAACCCTGGGGAAGTCTTAAACGCGAGGAAGGGGAATAACAAAAAAAAAAAACCGCTAGAGGAGGTTTAAAATCATTCCATGTGTCCACCATGAAATTAATATAGCATATTGGACTTAGGACCTAAGAGTTTTGCATAGATTCCTATGCAAACCTGTACATTTTTCATATAAATCAAAAATTCTAAATCTCCTTGAACATTCGACATGCTCTTTTGAAAGATAATTACATTATCTATAAAGCTAAATTAAAAATCTTAATCAGACAAATAGTAAAGGTTTAACAATTTTTATATTAGACTTTCTTCTAAAGTGGTAAGGAATATCATGTTATTTGACACTAGATATTTTAAGTTTTGAAATTCAATTAAGCTATTGAGTTAGTTTTTAAATGTTCTCTATGGTCAGTGAATGAATTACAGTTTTTTACAAGTTGTAAAGGTGTATCTTATTATTTTCCAAAGAGCGCTATGCCATGATGTTGATCACAACAAGACTAGGTTACTTATGTAATACAAGCTTTTTTGAAAATGAATTAACAATAGAAATATAAATTTATTTAAAGACTGATGCATAGTTATTCAATACTATTAATCAGGTAAATATTAACTGGCTCGAATTTAAATCAAAACCAGGGGTTGAAACAGAAAAAACTTTTATTTTTAAAAAGTTTCGGTATCACTGGAATTTTTATTGTTGATAGTTTTGGGGATCTTTTGGAACTAGAACTTTTTCCTTTGCAACTTTTCAAATGAAAGTTTTACAGAACTTTGATTTTTAAACAATTTTTATTTTTTTCTCAAGTTCTGTCAATTTCCCTAAAAAGCCGATCTAAAAGATGACTTTTATTCTTAGCTGCTCAAACAAAGGACACATTAGAATTATGTGAAATTAATTCATTAGAGACAAATAATAACTCTAATCCAATTATTGTTCTATTTTTAATTTATATTTATTTTTAATAACAGAACTTTTTTTAAGAACTTTAATAAATACAAGTTAAACTTTTACTATAAATCTAGAACTTAAATACAAAAAAGTTCCTTAAAACTTTTATCCTAAAAAGTTTCATAGAAACTGTTAAATTGAAACTTCTTAAAACATTTTCATAGAAGTTTCAACCCCTGATCAAAATTAATTTATTACAAAGTCTTACTTACTTTTATTAAGGTAGGGACTTCAATAAATCTGGCAAGAAATAGAAGATATAGTGAATTAAACATTAATGTATATAATAATTACTTAATTTGATGGATTATCATATATATTTGATAATTTTTTAGGACTCTCCTATTGAAAATTCATTTCCTCATCTAGCTTCGATCTCCGCCCTTTCTCTGACACCACCTCACAGTAAGTATATTCAGTTTTCATTTCCTTACCGGTAGAAATATTTAAATTATGTAATGCACTTAACAATCATGCAATGCTATGGACACATGCTAAAAGTCTGCTATGGACTATGAATGCATTTGTATACCTTACTTTTTAAAAATGCATGTTCAGCGATTAAGTAACGATGAAGTGTAAATAATGCTCCTTTTAAATTTTCTGTTACAGTGTTTTCATTGGACTCACAATTTGGTATGTGTATAAATATCATTTGTAAATAAAATTAGTATATGTTTTTTTGTTCTTTCTGAAAATGATTTATATGCATAAGTATAATGCTTTGCTTATTGGTTTTAATTGAGTATGTAAATATTTAGTTTGCATTTTCTAACCCAGCTGTAGATAATACATATTTTGATATTTCAAGGAGCATCAATAATCACTTCAAATACTAAAGAATCACATTAAGCTAATATATTATAATTATATGTATATTAGCTTATTGTTAATTTATTTAGAAAATAGTTGGCACCTTAGCAAGGTAGGAAGTTGAAATTTGTATGGTGCAGTTTTGTAATTTTAATGTTTATAGAAATTTTGTTTAATACTAAAATGAAAAATAAAAATGGTTATACAAATAGTTATTATTATTCCTCATGAAATCAAGAATGAATTGATCATGGTTCTAAAGCTGGAATATTCAATATCAGCAATCATTTTCATTGATTTATTTCCCACAACACAGTTGAACCTCACTTTACTAGTTTTGCTGGGTCTTTGGATTAAACTATAGTAATAATAAAAAAAAATTAAATTAATTTTTTCACTGAGTTGACTAATTTCAGCATTAATATCATTAGATCAAAATTATCCTGACTAAAAGATCACAAACATACAAATGATACTGCTGTAATCTTTCAATATATTTTTAATTTATCATCAAAGGTTACAAAAAATACTGATATTTTAATTGTAAATGATTTTTGATAATTAACTGATGACAACTGTAGCATCTGGAAAACTATTACTGGAATTAGGCTGGGCATATGCATTATTTCGAAAACGTTAAATTTTAAGCCTGGAATGTTCCTTAGAGATGTCTTGATGATCACTTCCAAATATTTAAAACACAGCTTGTTCCATATTCCTCCACCAACTAAATGCCATTAGAGTATTTATATCACTTACATTATAAAATCACTATTATTATAGTTATATTATGAATTTGAAGGTCGAAATCTTTTTGGAAGGTCGATTTTTCCTTGTTCCAGGAAATTTTGTTTTGTTCCACACATCTTTTGTTAAAATCCATTGTTCCTGAAAGCCAGAAAAAGGGGCTATACTATTTAACTATACATTTATAGTAGATTGGTCTAAACTTTAACTTCATCATATTCAAATTTACATATGACATATTAAATAACTTTTGTATTATTTTTAATCCTTATCTAGTATAAGAGTTATATATATTGTTTTTCTTTTATTGTGGTAATGCCTCTACCCCAAAGGGTCATTGGCATTTCTTATATTTTACAATCGGTGTTAATACTTGATTTATATTAAGAATTCCACAAGAGATTGAAAAACCGTTTCCGAGTCTTTTAGAACTGCTCGTATACTATAGCTCAACTTCAGTTGTTTTCTTATTGGTGCATACTGCTCTCATTTAACCAAGAAGTGGATGACTGTTCTAGGAGCACCACACGCGATATAGGTAAGGGCTTCCAGACCGTGAGGAAGATATCCATGAGACGGGACAATATTATTTCCTCCCGCCCTGATCCTCTGCAGCTAGTGTTCCATTTTGAGATGTTTTCTTTTATCTGGAATAGTTTTGAGGAGCAGCTCTTCCAGGTATCATTCCACTGGGTCACCAACAAGGACTTAAACTTTCTTGCCCAATCTTCTCAAGGGACACAATTTAGGATTTTTATTTCACTGCTGTCAGTAATTTGGGATGTCCAAGAAGGGATATCTGCTTTTTCGTTCCCTTTAATCACATAATGGGATAGGGCCCAAATGAAAGCTGCATCACAGGCTTTTTCTTCAATTTCCCATACAATGTTCAAAAGTTCTGCTATTGCTGAGTGTTTTGGGTCTCTTAAACAAAGTCGCCTCTGGCTGTTAAAAACACTCTTCGAATCAGTTACGACAGCTATCCTTGAAGGCAGTCGCTTCTCCCCTGAAGGCAGAACAGGCTCCAGACAATCTAAAAAGAAACTGTTCACTCTAGCCAGTAAATGCTATATTGTTCAATCCCATTGAAAGTTGAGAGTTCTGAGTGTGAAGAGCCGACAAACCCAGCTTTCTTAAACCTTTCCTCTCCTCTGTTTAATGCTTCTTGCATTTTCCATTAGATAAATCGGATTGATTTGCTGCTTTAAAAGATGAGAATATCATCTGCAAACAAGATGAATTTGGTTGGTCTTTCAAACATTGATGCCAGTTCATTGATGGTGATTAAGAAAAGGGTAACGCTAAGTGGAAAATCTTGAGGGGAAACATTTTTCAGCAAGTGGCTTGATAAATATGAATTTCCAATTCGTACGTAAAACTTCCTTTCTGTTAGGAAGTCCTTTATATACTTTTACATTTTTTCAACAATCTGCCAATCACTTAAAATTTTCAAAACTCTTTCCCTCCACATTGTTTCATATGCCTTCTCAAAATCCGAAAAAATACTAAGTGCTCCTTCAAGTGTAGTATAAAAAATACTAAGTGTAGTATTAGTATTAGAACAGGATCAATGCTAGAGTATCTTTCTTTAAACCCAAACTGAGTGGTAGATTATAATCCTTTTCTTTCGATTATATTGACCATTCCCATGTTTACGATTTTCTTCTGAAGTTTAGATAAGCATGAACACAGATATCGAATCAGAAGATTTTTAGATGATTGCTACAAATTTTTTTTGGAATTGGAACTACCTTATGATGTTTTCCAAATTCGAACAGAAAAGCCACTGTTCCATATCTGATTGAATAGTTTTAGTATGTAAGCCTTTCCTTTATATAACAGATTCCTAATCATTTCATAAGAAACACTGCCAATAACAGGAGCTGATACCTTTTTGCAACTACTTAAGGCATATTCTAGTACATTCAAACCCAAAGGATCATTGTAGCCCTCATAAGAGTTAGTTGTAATCAGTTTCTCAGTATTGGATACATCAAATGGTATTTTGTTACTGTGTAAAAAACAGATGATACTTCGGAGAAATATTTAGCAAATATCTCCGTTATAGCTTTTGGATTTGTAACAACTTCTTCGAGCTTCAAACTGGATATTTTGTGTTGTAGCCTTATTCCTCTTATATACTGAATCTTGTTCCATATATCTTTCACTACAGCAAGTTTATTGATGGAACATACAAACTCTCTCCAGGAAGTTTTCTTACTATCTTTAATTACTCTATTTGCCTATCGCCTTTAACTTTTTGAACAATAAAGCATTTTTAAGAGTTTTGTTTTTTCTATATCTATTCAGTGCACGTTTTTTAGCTCTTATAGCTTCTTCACATTTTTTATTTCTCCATGGACCTTCCCTTTTCAGGGCCACTTTCCTAATTATGTAATTAGAATAATATACTCGATCATCTATATTGTATCCTACATCTGTGAGTTCATTCATATTTGTCCATATAGTCTCTCTAAATACATCCCAACACACTGTCTGATATTCTCAAAGAGTTATATTAACATTACAGTTTTTGTTACTTTTAAATATTCTAGAATAATTAACTTTTCCACTCAATATACAATTTATCCTTACCAACTAGAACAGATAAGTGGGTTCTACTGTATTATAAATGTAACTTTAACAAAATATTATACATCTCTATATTTTTACATTACTAAAATTAATAATGTGTTAAGAGCACTTTTTTTATTAAGTAATAATTCTAATTATTGAATCCAGAATCAGATTTCTTAGTGACCTAGATACAATTTATCATTAAACTTGAACATAGAATTGATGCTTGATTTAAATTGTATTCAGGTTGAATTATTTATTTATAATAGCTAAATTAGGTGGTAAGATTGGGACACAAGCTAGTAAAAATAACAATAATTTTGATTTGTTTCTACATTTATTGCAGTTTGCCTGCCTGGAATTTGCTTCTTTGCAAAAATGTTTCTACTTTATTTTCCTGACATTTACAATTAAGTCTTTAAACTGCTTTTATTTGCTAGAGTGTTGTAATAAATGTTTCCTTAAATGCATGATTTAGCTTCAATTATGATATAGCAGCTTGTTATGTATAATGTAACTCTATTATAACATTATTAGTTATTCAATAGTCACTCCTAATTGGTTTTTAAATTAAAAATTTTTAATGTTTTTATAATAATGGAAAAATAATTATTAAGAAGAATAAATTACCAGATAGGAGTGAAATAGTTAATTATTGAAATAATAAGAAATAAGAAATATATATACATTTCCTATTTCTCTCTCTCTCCCTCTCTCTCTCTCTCTCTCTCTCTCTCTCTATATATATATATATATATATATATATATATATATATATATATATATATACATAAAGTGTATTCCAGGAAATAAAGAAATGAACATGAAATTTTGAAAAAATGTTTAAAAAATAATATTTTGAGAAAAATTAAAGCAAGAATAACAATGGTTCACTATTGATTACTAAATTTAAATTTGGTTTAATTATATGGACACAAATATATCCTGAATTAAATTAATGAAATATAAATCTAAAATTTTAAAAAACCTCGAGAATCATTACCTTCAAAATAAAAAGTTCTTAAATAACATTAATTTTAAAATTATTTTATTAGTTGGAATATTAGTTTCAGTATTATATTTTGAAAAATCAACTAAAATTAATTTTAGTAGATTTTATTCTGTCTGTTTAACTCTCACAAAATGCTAAAATTTATTTACATATATATATATTTTTTTTTTCAGGATTGTTCCCTGGTATGGATAATTGTCGAAACCCATTACTCAATGATCTCTCAGAACAAAGGCTTGACAATCACATTTCAAGCAAAAAGAAAAGTAAGTTGGCAAACAAATAATTTATATTAATATGTTATTAATACATTTTACTAATGATTTATCCAGAACTAAACCTGGTCAATAATGTAGTTCAAGTTTCTTATAGAATTTGCTTATAAATTTTTGAAGCAAAAATTTCTTTAGGCATTATTAGTATATAATGAATGATTACATTGGACTATACATATCACATCTCTCGCCTCTGCTAGATATTTTCTATATTAACTTCTACATTATTTTTTCCTCATTTTTTCAAAAATTATATTTTTTTAAATAATCACCAAATGAATTAATATCATACCATTTGTTTAATTATTTTTACAGTGGGACGACCTAAAGGCCAGCACAGTGCTCCTAGGGGAGGTCCACCGCGATCTTGGACTAATGCTGAACTAACAGAAGCTCTGCAACATGTCTGGAACAAAAAAATGACAACCTCTCAAGCTTCTCGAATTTTCGGTATACCATACAACAGCTTATTGATGTATGTCAGAGGAAAATATGGAAAATCGCTTAAACTTGAACAATTGAAAAAAGAGTGCTTTGGCGAACTCGGTGGCCCTTTAGATCTGCTTGGGTTAGGTAATATTTCTAATAACAACAACCCGACAAAACCAAAGATGCCTGAACCGGACCTGATGCTCGGACCGCCTGGGTTCAATCCTGGTCCTTATCCCACAACTAATTTTTATCCTGACTTTGGAGCTTCATTTCCTGTGCCAGTGGGAATGGTACATCTCCTTCCTCAATCTGAAAAGAATAGAGAGCCTGTGGATTTTGCTAAAGAAGAATCAAGAGCGACACCAATGGAATACCCAAAAGAGGAACTTCGAAATTCTCCCATGGCCTTAGATTTTGTTAAGGAAGAAGCACATGGGAACAACTGCATTGAAAATGAGGAGTCTAACAGTCCTCGTGGAAGAGAAATACAACAAGCACAGAATGGTCAGGATTGACACACAATACCTAGATATTAAATAAAAACCCTACTTTTTTCTATATTTAAGATAATGTAATATATTTGGTTATTCTGTTAATGTAGGGTTTTTAGCTGTGTACACTTGTTTTTCTTTGAATTTTCCTATAAAATTATTATACATTTGCAGGAAATTCCTTTAGTGAATGAAACAAATGAATTAACATAAGGACTTATATGGAATTTTTTTTCCGATATGTTGCTTTATTTGTTTTGAATTTGTTACTTAAAATGTGAGAATTCTTTGATGGAGTGTGAAGTTCTCTTGGCGGTGAGAAACTGATAATTTAAATACAGAAGACTGACTGAAACATGCCAATGTTCTAAGAGTATTTTTAATGTATATTTCATACACCTTCTGTTTCTCTTTTATATATGAATACATAAACTCAGTTCTTTTAATTTTATTAATTTCTTTTTTAGTTTAATAATATACTACTACTACAAACAGTTCCTGCAAACAGATTTATACCAAATAAGATTTAATTTATAGTAAATATATATTAAATAGGAACAGGTTACTAGTAGATTAGTCGGCACAGTATTTAACAGTATTGACCTCATTCGAATAAGGAGACTTGATGATTTCCTTCATTTGAAAGGTTTTATATATTTGGTGTGGCAAAGTCTGTATGATTAAGGGACTAAGGACTGTAATGGTGCAGTTGGGCACGTTTTGTGCAACAACATTTGTGATTAGTACACAAAGGAAAGTTATAGGAGGTAACTTATTAGGTTAAGAAACAACCCAAAATAATACTGGGTTCGTGATATGGCATTATTGTTAAATATTCTCTTGTTATGTTCTTATAAATGTTTTCGCTTTTATTTTTTTGTTAAAGAAAAAAATCCCCTTTTGAAGATTGTTTTTTTGTCAACATTCCCTTAAGAGATTTGAGGGTATACGAATTTCAGAATGAAAGATAAACATACGACGGAATAGGACTAAAATTTTCCTCAAAAATTTAGTTATAATTAGTAATTAAAAAAAAAATACTGAAAGCACCAAAATTTAATGTATGCACTTTAATCTGCACTTGTATAAAATTTAGGCCAAGAAAATTTTAGATCTAATTAGATAAATGATTTTAGAAATTTTCCAATGTATAAAAAAAAATATTCTATCAATTTACTATTTGTTCAAAATCAAACAATATTAACGGAATCATGTATACAGTTGTTAATATAATATTTTAGAAAACGCTGTTTGATATTTTTACAGCTACAAAAATAACACTTTGCAGGGTCAGGTATCTCTATCGGGATATAGCCTTTTACAATAGATACAGGTACATAGATTAAGTTTATCATTGTCGGTTGATTTGTTTACAATTTACATTGGTTACTGCTCTTTTTCAATAATATACACAATATGGGATAGTTCTTTTAAATAATAATTACCTTGTGATATTTTAAATAGCTTCGCAACAAGAAGGATACTACCTTGAACACATTTTATATTTTATAAATAAAATAAGAAGGAAATATATTACATATATAATCGGCAGTAATCTATGTGAATTACGTATTGATGCTCATATCAATCAAATCTCCCATGCTACTTCAAAATACCATTGTACAGTTGTTTATATAAAATTTATGTATTATCTATAAATATATATGTTATCATCTGTTTGTAAATGTTCTACAGGCTTCCAAATAGTTATAGAGTTAGATTAGTGTATAACCTAAATTCAGTAAGAATGCTTGTCCTTGTACTGATACATACAGATAATTAATTGGACTAAATAATATATATATAAATATATATACACCTGGCTATTTAATTAAAAAACCAACAATAGGTGTTTGGAAAGGTATTCTGTGTACAGTATATTAGTTTTTCAGTAAATATTTAAATATATATATATAAAGGATGTTATGTTTATTTTTTTCTGCATGTCAAAAAGTATGAGTACCAAATTGTATGATTAATAAAAAAGAAGGGGGTGGAATGTAAGGGTAATTATTTAGATTATTAATCAAAAGGAAGGCATTTGCATAATTCGAAAACTCAAATCTTCATATATTGGTACTGTTAAATCTCTTTTTGTTTGGTTCTTAATAATTGGCCAGTGCCACAATTAATAGATAATACCAGTATAAAGACAAATAAGAATGTTAGTCTGATGAATATGTTTTTGAAGCAAACAGACTTTTAAGCTTGGGAAAAAATAAAAGTTACTGTGAATTTGGTTTTAAAACATTTTTTATAGAGGATATGGAAACTTTTTTACATTTATTGTTTTTAATTGAGAAAAGAAAATCCATCAATGAATTAATTTTACTCATAAAACATTAGTAGCGCCTTTCGTCGTAAAATTCAAATTAATATTCCATTGAGAGATATTCTTTTGTCTACTTACTTCACTAAATTTTAACTTTAGACCTGACTGACTAGTGGTACATAAAGTTCATCTGACAATTAGATTCCAGATATTGGGGAAGGGCGAACAAAATGTCATAATTTTGTATCAGTAAATTCTAAAACCAGTCATGATCATTTACAATAACCACAACTGAGAGAAAGGATACTTTACTAATTTATGTGGCACATATCTTGTTTATTTTATATTAAACTATTTATTTATTTGTTTTTTAACCTAAGATTTTTACTAGAACATTTTTTAAAGATTTGATTTCTGAAAATGATTCTTAATCTAAAAATTACTACATTCCACCAATAAATATTTATTTTTGTACATGTATAACAAAAGTTTTTTAAATATACATTAATTATAGTAAATATTACTACAACTAAAATGTATTTAAGAGGTATCCTTCTATATTATGTAATTTGATTTATATTCAGAAGTTTTATTATCCGTAGGTATTGTTGCATTACTTAAGATTGGATCTTATTTTTTAAAATGTGCAATATTACTCCTTAATTTAAGTTCCATAATATAGGCATAAATTCTGATACATTATATTTATCTAAAATGATTCCTCGATTTTTGGAACTATCAATGCTGTTTACCAATTACAAGTGTGATATTAAGTCTTACAGTAGTCTAATGAATAACAAAATATCTTGGTATGGTAACTTGTCCTGGAATTAGCTTTCGTTATCTTTCTTTCTAAGAACTTACATACATTTTTTCGATGAATGAATGAATATATACCCATCCATTTAAGATTTCTTTTTCTGATAATGTAGAAAATATATTGGAAAGTTACAATGTTACCATAAATCTTTTCTTTTTTGTTTTTATTTTTTTATTTATAGCAATACTATTTTACTTGGTGCTACTATTTCTTTATTTATTATCATTATTATTTAATTATTTATTCAATATAGATTTTATTTATGCATATAATTATTTTGTTTCATTATTTTTCATTGTTCTATGTACAGCTTTGTTTATTCTTAATGTTTTTTTGCAAATTTTAAATTGTACTAAGTGTTATAAAACAACCATATAAATAATTTAGTTGTTTTAGTTATAAGTGCAATTTATACTTTATTTCTTTGTTTAGTTATTATTATTTCAAATAGAATTTATATGTGTATATTGTTCATAATTTATTATAATTTTCATTTCTATGGAGTGTTTCTCAGAATATGCAGGCTGTGTGATCGTTAATGAGAAAAGGGATTTTGTTGGCAATATCTGTTCTGGTAGATTAGATTGGTTTATTTTCATCAAATATGGTATTATTATTACAAAACCATGTAATGGAACATTTCAGAATGATGTAATATAATGAAATAGTTCATAAAAATAAGAATTATCCGAATTATTTTATTGTCAATACTATTTTTATTTTGTTTAATTAAATTTGTTTTTGATTTTTAAACTCTAGATTTTATGATATTAGTGTTCAATCTAAACCATATCTTTTAAATTTTATTTGTATCTTCTCTATTTTTTTCAGTTAATTTATTTTAATTTTGGTATTGGTTCCTTTATTTATTTTTTGTTCAATGCAGTATGTCAATAAATAATTTAATTTGCATTTTTTTTTTGCCTTTTTTTTAAGTATTTGTTTTTTTAAAGAGCCATACCAGGGAATAATACCTCATCCCCGAAACAATACGTTACTAGTTATTAATAACTGCGGTTGATGATGTCAGGGCTGCAGATTGTGTTATGAGGGATAGAATTTCTGTGTCACTGCCCACATTGTTAATTTAAAACTGTTACCTCAAAGATGTGATTACTTTCTTTTTTTAAAAAAACAAAACATTTTTAATAGTCCCTTGAAAGAAACCTTAACATTAATTGTAAGCGCGTTTTATAAGTATTTTAGGAGACATATGAAACTGTTAAATAAATTATTTTATATCTTTATATTTATATAAATAAATAAATATATATGTAATGTATATTATATGTAATAAATGAATGTGTGTTTGTACAAATAGGCCAGATTCCAATAGATTAGATTTCAGAATTTTTATATTTGTTGAGAGCTAGTTAACTGTTATTTTCATTATTAAAAGGTTTCTTTAAAGGGACAATTTATTGTATATTTAGGATCCTTGGTCCTGATTCCGTATTTTTTATGTACTGAGTGTGATATTATAAGTAAGACTGCTACCTCGATGGTGCATGCAAGATTTATATGATTCGGTGCCAGGTTATACTTGTGGTGCACTCTACTGTTCCTTATTCTTTTATTCCTCTATAATATACAATATTAATACAAAGTTTTACATGTAACTCTCATAACAGTAGGAAGATTAATAATTATACAATGAATAATGTAGATATAAGTGATTAAAGGTTGTGTGTTAATGAGTAAATGGATGTCTCTATTCTCTCTTTTTCATAAACAATTAAAACTAAACATTCCTTAAGGATTCCAACATAAATATATATCATATAAATGTTTCAGAAAATTTTGTATCTCATTGAAACATTTGTGTTTTGGCAATTAGAAATCAAAGAAGTTAAAATTGTATAACCTATGTACAAATCAATGTAAGACAACAGATATACTGAATTATTCACTCGGACAGGGTAGACACAACTTGACAATTTTATCCGAATATATATGTAAATATTAATTGTATAGATCTTTAAAAAAAAAAAAAATACAAAAAACTATCAATAGATGTAAGTTTAAAGTATAAAATTGTAAAATGTATACAAAATCATTTGTCTTGTTAACATATTCGTTGTCAGTTGTCAAAATTATCTTATTCGAATATTTGTTCTTAATAAATTGATCGTTGGAATTGTAAAAAAAATTTACCCTAATAGAAGTAATGAACACTGTATGTAGGAATTTTAGTTCTGGAAAGAGTTTCAATAAAGGTATTAGAATCAAAACAATCTATAAGCTCTATTTTCATTTAAACTGACGAGGTCTATTAGTTCTCTCTTTCTTCTTTCTTTCATGCAGAAGATTGCATCAAACTAACTGTCTTGAAATGAGAATGAATTGTAATAATGAAATGACATGTTTGCTCGATGCAGGTGGAATATAACAAATAATAATGAGTACATAATAGTATTGTAGATAATTCAGAGTTATATAATTCAAAATAAAGTTATTTAATTAGTATATCAGGTCTCCAGTTCCAGCATATGCCATTATAATTTTCCATCCCAAATTAATCAATGATTGTTGAAATTTCAACTTTTGAAAATATGTTACAACTCACTTTAGTTGCAAGCCAAGCACTTATTCACTGAGCTTCAATAAAATTGGCTACTGTTAATTTCTAATTCCATTTTTTAAACTTCTTAGTGAAAGCAGAGAGAACTAATAATCCTCAAACAATTTCCTTCAAATAATTATATGAAATAAATACTACTACTTTAGATTTTTAAATGTCTAATAAGTCTGAAAAATGTCCCAAGTTATTCATAATTTGTTATATCCCTGTTACAGGATTAAATATAAAAGTTATCAACGATTAAACTGAAAATAAGACTGTAATCAATGTTTGTACAGTCTGGGTAGGATCGTTAACTTTATCAGTAAATTAAAACATAGATGAAGTTGTTCCATGGTGAATATATTTGCTGAACCTAAGTGAGGAAAAAATTTGCGATGGAGAAAAGTATCTTGATTCAAGAAGATCGAGTCTGGATAATTAAGTAATTTTTAATCATTAGCTCCTTTTCAGTTTTTTCAAGATTATATTTCTTTTGCAGAACACTTACAATTAGCCTCATTAGAACAATATAGTGGTAATAAATGATACAGTTGTTAAACACTGTAAAATATTTTACAAGAATTTTTGATGATAAAATATGTAGTTTGTTTAGATTTATAGCCCTGTCTTAATTAAGAATATTTTTCAAAAATCTCCTAGCTCTTTTTCCTTGTGATATCAAAATAAAGCTAGGTTTACAACATTTTCCTCTTCCGATAGATTTAGTTTTTGACAATTCTTCAAGTTTGAATGTCAAAAACTTAGTACATCATTTGATATTTATTGACAAAAATATTTAATTGATTTTTCAAGACTGAGTTATCACAAAAATAATTTAATCATTAACAATATTGAAATTATTTTTCAACAACAATATCCTTAATATAAGTGGTTGAACTAGAGATAGATATAACAACATTGCATGGCTGCTCAACTGTGTTGAGTTGCTAAATAACACAGTTTACTCATCAATCAAAAGATTATACTGCATAAAAATATAAGACCATTGGAATACATATCAGACATTGCAAGAACAGTTCATAGAATCAAATAAGTGAAAGTCTAGATGTGGTGATGGATGATTCCTAACAAGTCTAAAATAATTGTTTCTGTCATAATCTGCATCTGCCCCCTTCCTACACCAACCCTCTGAAAAAAATTACTTGCATTAAGAGCGATGCTTACCCTGCTTCGGAACTATAGTCCTTTAACTAAGTATTATCTCTCGCCGAATTCATATGTATAAAAATTATGAGTGATAATTAACACCGTCAACATAATGATTGTAATACAAAAAATATATAAAAGTAAATTATATATATATATATATATATATATATATATATATATTTTTTTTTTTTTTCTTTTAGATAGGGATCTATTTTTTAAAATGTGTTAACAAAGAAATTGAATATATTGCATATTTGTATACCCATTAAAAGGTGTGAGGCAGTGAGATGAACTTTTAATTTCTCTGATGCTTCAAATTTGCTGTGGGAAGTGTGATAAAATATTCACGTAAAAATGGAAGAGTGCTCATCAATGAACCATAAAATGCTAGGTTATGTTGCTAAATGTTATTATCTTTTAATATAAACTAAAATTTTAATAATAGGAACATAAGTAAGGGTAAAATACTTGCATACCTACTCCTAAACCTTAACTTAGCCATCTAGTCGACTTTTCCTATTTCCTTAATAGATTTTGGTTTAAAATTTTTTTTCATTCATGTAGATTAATTATTATAGATTTGGATTTCATTTTTGTTCTTCAAAATATTAGGAGGACGAAACGATATTCTCACCCCCTCTCTATTTTTATTGGAGGTGATCTCTCTCCTTGTCCTGCCCCCTCCGAAGTCTGCGCATATGATCTAATGTTTATTTGTCATTTTAGTTACACATTACTTATTAGTTTTATTATTTATAGTTATTAGTAACAATAAAACATGTTAAATCATCTGATATACGTAAGTAGAAATTAAGCCTTTAGCAATTGGTCAATTTTAAAATAAGTTAATAATAATAATTCTGATTGCAGTTAAGATCACTTCTTTCCTCATTTATATGCCATTCAAGTTTTTGTTATAGTTTTTCCTTAATAACAGATTTCATAATAATAAAATGAAATCAAATGGTTTGTAAGAAAATTACTGAGTCATAAAATACTTATTTATTTATGGATAAACACATATAAAAAATATTTACTTAATTAAATTAAATACATTATAAACTTATAGCTTACACAGTAAGATCTTGTCATGATACATAATTACATTTCAGCAGTCTGTAATAAAATTAAAAATACAATTTTTGTTTTAAATTATTTTTTTATTCTCCTACCAACAATACCAGATCATACTTGGCACAAACACATCTATTCCATATATTACACAATAAATAAATATATCATAAGAATCCATTAATATGTGCTGTACATTTATAAAAAAAATGATATTTACAATTATAAATTTACAAGTTTAATTTTTACAATAATACATTCTTGTATTTGCATCGAGGTGGTATAGGGGGAGGAAGGTAACTAGATACATTCATGTATTCATGCACGTTATTGTTAAATACATGGTTAACAAGTTTTTCCTCATTAAGTACTATTGTATCTTTGGTTAGTGCTGTATCGATGAAGTTTTCCTCAAGTTTACTTTGATCAGATTGTTCAATCTTCTCAAAACAACTATCATCATCGTCTTTGGTCAATGCTTCTTTGGTATCTTCAGGATTTGTTTGATTATGTAAATTTGATTTTTTTTCACCTATGACTTCAGATTCTACTTCATCATCTCCATTCATAAAAGCAGATTCAGGAGGTGATAAAATATCAATGTAATCTTTGTTAGGCAAACTACTTGCCATGCTTTTTAAAAGTTTTTCACTTTGTTCTAAAATTTCAATTTCAGATTTATCCTTTCTTCCCTCATTAGACTCAATTTTGACTTTTTGCTCTGTTTCTATCAAATCCGGGTTTATGTAGTTGCTATCATCCATGTTTTGTAGGCTTTCAAACCGTTCTACCAATTCTTCAACCGTCTTTACAGTTTGGTCTGAATTTTCTTCCTGAGATTCTTCCAAAATGTCACTTCTGTGTACATCTACTACTGTTCGTGTCACAACTGGCGGGTGAGGAAGATTACATTTTTCAGAATAAGAAGCAGTCACATATTCGTCGGGAGCTGACTCTTGACGTCGCAATCGCTCATAAAATGCTGGAGAAGGGCTAACTTTTTCTAACGCTATCTGAAACAAGTATTCATATTTTATAGAAACTTGTAAATGGCGATTTATAAAAATATAATTTAGTAATATAAGTAACAATATCAAAGTCAGACCTATGAAATAGCCTGTACAACACTAACTTCCTTTGATTTAAAATAAAAATACAGTATACACTAATACTTCTCTTAATAAAAAAATAGTGGAATTTGATAGAGTGAGAACCATGATTTTTTTAGCAGATGTTTTATGGATCCACTCGACATTAAAAAATAAGATTTTAACAGATTATTGAAAATTAATATTTAAAAATATTAACATCTGTATCAAAATGAAATTTTATTCGGTTGATTTGCTCAATTTTTTTTTTTTTTTTATAATCATTTGATTTTTTCAAATTCTTAGGAATAAGTTAATGAAACAATGTTTATTTTGAAATCTTTCTGTTCATAAATGTAAAGTATGTAAACCATTCATTAAGTTCAACAAAACAATTTTTTATCAGATGTTTTACCATTTTGATTAACCAATTTGTATTTCACATTTTTTTAAATTTAAGATTAAAGTAAATTTGACGAATCGGATTAGCTTGAAGATGATAATTTAAATTCATTATTTTTCATTGTTCTTAACCACCAAAACATATTATTCCTTGTCAAAACGTTAAAACAATCATCTGAATGAGAAGGATGGACCAGTTTTATGTTTAATAGTTATTTTTATATTCTTTTAACTTACTTCAGTCTTTTTTTCTTCAGGATCAGAATGGGTCCCACTATCGCCTAGGCTCACTCCGCTTGTTGTGCTCATCCTACCAGAGGATGAGGAACCTAATGATAAAAAAAAAATATATTAAAATTCCACAAATAATTAATATCTACTTTGTAAATGTTATATGTAGAAATGTAAACAATTTTTAAGACTAATCAGTAATACTAGGGTAGAATTTCTATTTTTTATGGAGAAGACTTTATTTCATTCATTTTTATTTTTAGCTTTTATATCCTCAAATGCTTAACTACAGAAATGATTTATTTCATAACTGCAAAGTGTTGTTCATGTAATCCAAATAATTTAACATATTATATCCCTGTATGTATTAGATTATTTGTTTTCAGTACTTTTTTCTACAATCGAGGCTATGAGAAATCTTATATTTTCTTTTCATCAAAAATTATCTTCATGCAAGAGTAACCCCAGAATATATATAATTTCTTTTTGTTTGCTAGTATTTTTTTATGCTCTATTAAAAGCATCCAAAGTGGTACAAAACAATGAAACCATCACAGTACATGGATATAATATTCTAGATTAGATAGTTTTTGTAGGTTAAGGCAATTAATGACTGAAGAAAGCAGCACCTTTTGTCGCCCCATGGAATACAACATTTAACTTAACTAATATAGTCTGACAAATAATAGAATTACTTACTGCATGAGCTGTGTAGGCTTAAACTGCTAACTGGCCTCTGAGAAACAGAGTCTGCTGTACCCTTTTCTTTGCTGCCAGCTTCATCTATTATACAGATATGTAAATTAATTAGACTTGTATATTCTCAAAAGAAAAAATTATGATATCGTTGAAATGTCACTTACGTTTGAATTTCCTAGAAAAAAACTTCTTGATCCTGTCAAGTGGTGTTGGCCTTTTCAGTTGTTCTTTCATTTTAAGTTGGATCCTTTCATATTCTTGCCTCATTTTATTTATTTGTTCCTGAAAAAATAATTTTCAATTAGGACTTGAAGATAAGAATGAGACCATTTAGAGAATTCCAAAACAAAAGCCTCAATTCAAAGTCAACTTGTTGATATGTCCTGAAATGAAGGCATTTCCAGAGTTACAATCTTGCAATGCAATGATAAAAATACAAAATATTTGAAATAATATGCATTACACGTAAGTAATATAGATTAAAATTCCAGTGATTCTACCATATCCCATTTCAACAAGCCAACTTTATGAAAGGATTGTTCTCTTTGAAGTGATTCTTGAGGCTATTATTTGTAACCTTGCAATAACGGTGATTTCTTATTTATTTAATTTTTAACTAACATATATAAATTAAAGCATATTGTTTTCATATTATTCATTAAATTATCAAATTTTGTACTAAAAAGTCTCAAAAATTTAGAATACTTATATATAGTTCGTTATTATTTATGTATAGCAAGTGGTATAGTAAGTACCTTTTTATCCCTAAATGATTGTTGTACATCATTTCTATTTTTCCATGCTTCGACTAATTTTTCTAATTCACTTATGGTATATACATTATTTTTAAAGTCATTGATGATTTCTGCTAATTCGTCATCTGGACTCATTTTACTGGATATACTGCTCCCGCAAGCGCTGCTTCCACACCTGCCTGTGTTCATGTAATGATGACTACCACCTAAATAAAATGGTTGTTTTAAGCTGATTGCAATATATTTTTAATCAAGATATGTAATAATAAGTGATTAATATAACTTACTACTAGAAAGAGAAGCACTGTCACTTCCAGGAAAGGAAGAATATTTCTTCTCTGGGCTTAAAATGTGTTCAAAATTAGTACTCGAAGTATCTGACACTGAAATAGAATAAATCAGATTATTGAAAGTCTCATTAATAATAATATGATTTATTTCTTGAATTTGTTATTTGCTCACTTGGAGAATGCATTTGGAGATAAGCTGAGAAGTGGTCAGTTGGTGTATTTGGCGTAGATGGAGTCATAGGAGTAAATGGTCGAGCTTGAGGAGGTGATTGGTAATTCTCGAGCGGATCTAATACTAGGGGGATGGAGGGGTTTTCTGGTTAGTGATAGGATGTGAAAGGTTTAGAGTTGTGGGTGGGAATGGTGATCTTGGTGATGGCGGTTCACCAGTGGGTGTGACAGGACGTGCTTTTGGTGGAACAAGGTATGTGTCACTCAACGGCCTAGGCAATAGGTAATTCCCTTCGCCAAAGTCTAAAACATAGAAAAAATATTATTAGTTCAATTCAATAAGTTATTAATAATAAATAAGATAGCTATAATTATTTCTCATCAAAATAATGTATCGTATTCTGCCCTCCATTATACTAAACTACTTTTTTAGTATTCACATCCAACAGAACAGGTATAGACACAAATTAAGTCAGAATCACTTTAGATGGTCTAGCAAAATCTTCAAATTAATATATCCAATTAAAATTAATGATACAATTCTTGTTATTGTTTGGTATTTTGTAATATAGTTTAATAAAATTTGTTTCTTATAACATCACAATATATTTACCTTGAGGTTTCTCAGTAGTGTTTTTCAGGTAAGCATTCATATAAGTATACATGCTTGAGAGTTCTGTCATTTGCTGAAGGTGAACCATGGAACAAGCAATAAATAGAAAATAAAAATCATAATAATTTTCTTTACAGGTGATATTATACAATAATATGAATTAGTAACAGTGAAATGAATAAATATGAATACCTACCAAGTAAGAATTTAGTGCTTGTGCGAGGCTGGTGTGCCCTGCTTTCTCCGCTAATTCTGCTGGGCCCAGCTGATTGCCATTTCTAATTTGACAGGCTGCTTCACCTCCTGGACATTCAAGAAGTTGCCAGCAAAGCTTCTCCAATCCAAAACGTGCAGCAAAATGCAGTAAAGTCGGGTATTCTTCCCTGCCTGATAGAAGAACAAATTTTAATAACATTTTAGCTAAAATTAGTACTTGACTAATTAAGTTATGTTGACAAGGGCAATTCAGGCAATGATTTTAGTTTTTTAAAATAGATTTTCTCCATTGAAAATGGCCTATGGGCTGAAACACTGGCATAGAAAAAGAAATAAAGTAGGACTGTTGTGATTACATTGTGTGTTTTTATTATTACCGATAAAGTAAAGTCCTAACCTACAAGTTTAAATATGTATATTTAATTAAATTAATCCTTATGATATCATGAGAATGTAAACTCATTCATATACCAATTGGCATTAATAATTATTAAAAAATGAAAGTAGTATAAAGATTATGTTTAATGTAAGATTCTTAAGTAATGTCTATCAGCTCTTGATAATCAAGAAAACAAAGGCCAAATAAAAATAAAAATTATACTAATCTTAACTTGTATCAACTTAACAAATCTTTTAGAATATTATACAAACGAATAAGAAAATGATGATATTGAAGTGTACGGAATCATAAAATAAACAGCTGGTTTTATTTCAGCGCATAATAGTTTATATCTATTTTGTTGTGAACCCAAGAAGAATTTGAATAAGTCAAGAACAGGCTACTAGCCTGTAAATAACCATTCCTTCCTAGTGTTGAAGTTTGTATTTAAGTGTGATAAGATCAATAAACAACAAGTTACATAAATACAAAAACTGTTATTGTATTTCGTTTTGATCTGTTTTACATAAGATTATCCCTTTCATAAATAAGGGCTGGGTTATCAATAAGTCTACTTTATCAACATGTCTAATTAACGATCACTGCTCATTTGAATTTTAGATATGAAGTTTCTGTTTCCTGATTAAAGCATAATGTGATGTGTGGACTGATTAACAAAGTTATACTATTTTAGTTATACATTTTCAGAATAAAAATACATTGAAATTCTCTTATGTACCTTCTGTTTCTCAAATATTATCCAGCTAAGTTATTTCATTTTGTTATTATTATGTAAATCATGAATGAGTTATTAACTTTTAAATCTATTATTTAAAAAATTATCTAATGAAGGAATATATGAAACTTCTGTAAAGCTGATGTGAAGAAATAAAATATGATATAATAGAGGAAATTCTTCCACTTCATGATAATTTAGTAACAAAATTGGTAATAAAAACAAATTAAAATTAAAATTTGGTATGGATTATTATATATAATATTGGGAAAACTACTTCAAATAACTGTATAGTTATCAAAATTATCTCAGCGATGTTTAAAAAAATACTTACTTGTGCAATTGCTTGTCATTGCTGCATTCAATAAATTGAAATTGGGTGGAATATTTCTCTGTAATGAGGCAACCAGAAATGAATCCAACTGGTCCCTGTCACCTCCATTGATCCCTAAGGCCTAAAAAACAAAAAAACATTGAAGTAAAAATTCCACAGAAATATAATCAGCAATAACTAAAATTAAATGAAAGATAACTTTATGGGACTGGTCATGTTGGTTCTGACGTTGTGGTCATACTACCTTTGAACTTAATATTGATAGAACACGTTTATATAACGTAGAAACAAATATATAAAAAATATAATCAAAAAGGAAAAATAAAATAAAACAAACTATTTCGATTAACTAGAGAATGAAATTTATAAATGAATGTTCTTCTAATATAATTACTACTTTTCAGACTGGTCAAGGAAAAAGTGGTTGAAAAAGAAGGATTTCAACAAGATTGTTCGTGAATGATATATGGCAGTAAAAATTAAATTCTGGAGGGAGGCAGCTCAAGTTACTGTCAAGGACTTGACAAACGCATTACTTCTTTTGCAGAGGAATATAGAAGTCAGAACCACAGGACATGGAGGGATGGGATTCAACAGTAGATTTAAATTTTCGGATCTTAGGGATGTTGAGGAATACTGAGTTCTAATCATTAGGTATAGGAATGACAGAGAAATATAAACACCTAAAGGGTGGGTATAGTAAATTTAAATTGATATAATGCTGACACCATAATGTAATACTAACCATTGGACTATTTTAAAAGTACAATTTTATTAATAAAGCAAATTTTAATTTAAAAAGAGGAAATATTTAGAAATGATCTTCAGAATTAAATATTGGAGTTTTCCCATTTACAATTTGTCTACTGGAATAATTAAGATAACATTTCTAATATTCTAAAATTCCTGTTGATTGAAGCCACTTTTAGTTAAAAGAAATATCTTAATTGATACTAAAATTATTAAGTAATTGATATATTCTATAATATACAAATATTATATGGCATAAAAAAGAAAAGTATTTAAGTATTTGGTCATAGTGTTAAGAATGGGCAGAAATTAAGAATTTGAACTTATGGTAGTATAATTTTGTAGGATCCTACCTGGCACATGAATGCTAAGGGATTGTCGGCAGTCTTAAGCAATTGGTCCAACTCTCTCAGACGACATTCGCACTTGACTAGACGATGACCAATGGACCTCCCATTCCTTTCTACATTTATTGCGACTAATTGAGACATTTGTAGACACACACCTGAATAAAACAATTTCATTATTGATCAATGTTATGTTTAATTTTAATAGGCCACTATTTTATTATTTTTTTTAATAGGTCTTGCCAACTTACTAGGCATTGTAAATTGAAGTGTGTAAGGGTTCCTTCTCTTGATAGATGTAATTTCAAGCTTTTGCCCTGTTTTTTCTACTGTTATATTTATCTTGTCTGCATTACATAGTGGGTCATTAAGAAGGACTAGAACTTTGTTCTGAGTCTGAAGAGGAAAAAAAACAAAAAAAACATAGGCATGAATATCAAATTTATAATAATTATCTGCACAGTGAGACTTGTAATTATTTAATACTTACTATTTTGACCTTTTTAGGTATTATAGAAAAGTGAGATCGAGTTGTATCACACTTGATCTGTTGAATGGCTTGCTGCAGTTGCCAGGATCGACTGAGAACATCCATTGCCACACCGAGGAAGTCGCCAACAAATGTTTTGTCTTTGTCCTTAACTGTCATCTTCCTCCACTGGTCAAACCTGAAGAGACCTATAAACAGTCAATCAGTTAAATTATTCTCTGCAAGTACCAGAAAATCATTTCATTTTGTATTGCATTGTCCATACCTGCATACTGATGCATCTCTAAAGCCTGCGCAGTGACGCCAAGTAGCATTGCAAGGACTGTTGCTGGCTGCAACATTGTTGCAAGAATGGGTACGCCTTGGCTCGTCGAAAGGACTCGCAAGAACTTAGGGCAGATGATAACAATTTGAAGTCTCGATCCAGAAGAGCCTTCAACTGGAAGACCCATGAGGACATTTTCAATCATTACTCTTGCTAACCTAAAAGTAAAATATTGTTTATTTATTTTCATTATATATTTTGATCCAATATTATAAAATTAGAGGGTGCCGACACTATTTTAAACATTCTTTATAGATTGTTTTATTTAAAAAAATTCTGATAGTCTCTCTCGTAATTAGATGATCTTACTTGAAAGGAGGTCTATTTTCTTCTTTGGGAATTTCTTGAAAACATGATGACAAGTAATTAGCCCATAATGTTGCATCCTCACTTTCAGCACTGCTCAAAATAGTTATATCCATTATACTATCACCTTTCCCGGATATAACTGAAAAATAGAACATACAAATTTAATTTCATTGTTAAAGCATAAATCAGTCATGACATTACTCTATATCAATGTAATTATAATATCATGAATCAGTTCTTATTTATTATTTTTATTACTTTTAAAATGCTACAGAGAGTAATAGAGCAATAAATGATGGAAGGCAATATTTTGTTTGATTGTATTTTTAAAATAATTTAATTTCTATCTGATTTCATACTTTATCTTGGCGAATTATAATCTTTCTTTCTCTTTTTATATAATCTCTCCTCAATTATATTTGCATTTTATTTTGTAGCATTAAGAATGACACAAAGGAACTTTTGATTTTCCTTCCTGGGCATTTCTAGAAAAATGAATAAGATAGAGCTGTTGGAATACTCTCATTGCTGCGCCTGATGTCAAACTGGGTTATTATAGAATTTATTCTTTTTTTTCTTTATCTCCAGAAAATATATTATCATACTCATTGGAGTAGCTTGATCATATCGGGACCAGGGAAGAATTATTTTTTGAACCACAATAAAAATTAGGTCTATTTATTTCTATCATCATGTTTATTATTTCTAACAGTCAGTAGAATAATTAGCCAGCTGAATATAAATACATTATCAATCGTACTGAAAGCAAATCAACAGTGCCGGCCTTAGACATTCGACGCCCCAAAATTATTTCTAAAGCTGTTTTATACTGTGATATTTGAATTTCATTTAATTCAATATTTGTCTACTACAGTTGCTTTATTGATAGGCTAAAATTAAATATTTTTATACATTTTGTATTTCTAACAAGTTGTAAGTGCTCCTGAAGTTCAGTCGGCCAGGTGGGCGTCCCGTGGCATTTTCCCCACCCTTAAGGCTGGCAGTGCAAACCAAATATATATCATATAAAATATATATACTTCTAATTATATATTTTTCCAACTATTTGGAATTATATTTGAATAAGCTCGGATATCGATATTTATGTAGTGGTAATAGAATTTATATTTATTTATTGACAGTGATAAGTGTTGTTATATTGTTGTATTGTTTTCTTCAACTGGAACATTGATAGAGGAGATCTCCAAAACGTCAGATTGTGAATGTTTTCTTAATACAAAGACAATATAATGGAAGTCATTTTCCTCTATATATATCTGAATATATCTATGCTCTAATCTTAGGCTCATTAATAAATTATTATTAATTAATTAAAGTATATTAATATGCTCTCTGTACTTATTGAATATAAGTACAGAGAGAAAATTCTGTTAGAAAAAAAAATTGCAATATTATAGTAACATGTTTGTATTTTTTTCCCTTATGACAAGTGGTGTCCTGGGGTGAGTATTGTTAGTGGGTACCACCCCTTTGCCCCACTTAGTGACAATACTGATTACACTTCTGTTTCGACAAAGTAGATGTCCCTTTGAAGGAGTATCTATTAGTCTGTTGAAATTCGTGGACGAAATGTTAGGTAAGCGATAGATATAACCCTTTTCCTCTCTGAAAAAAAGGGCCGAATAACTGATTTTCCAATTTAGTTTCCACAATATTATTACTGCGGTAAGTTCAGTGGTACAATTGTCCCCACTTGAAGCACGGCCATTAAGCCAGTTCTGTTACTAGCCGAAGAGTTGTCGGGGACGCGGGCGGAGCGCCGGTAAGCCAGAGGCCGAAGGCATCGGAACACGTGTCAGGTATTCGATTGTGTAGAGAATCGTAAACAAGGCCCAGGTCCTGGAGATGAAAGGCTAATGGAGGAAGCTGAGACCCTGTTTAGACTTTTTAAATGTGATTTGTTCCAGCACTTGGGTAAACTTCTCTTTCTCTGTTTACCGTTTTAGTCCGATGTTAGCGCTCCCTTTTTGGAACATAGGTTTGGAAAATATTTAACTAGTGGTGTTTATTGAAACCGGCCACCGGTACGAATCCCAGCCCCGTCGGTGAGATAGGGCTAAAAAAAAACTCCAGTGTTTTTTCAAGAGGGATTTGTGATTCTTTCAAATTGTGGGCGGCCTCGTTTCAAATCTATTTAAAAAGTCGATGCTCTCACAAGGAACTTACACTTTACACGATTATCCCTGTTTATTATATTATATAATATATCACATTATAATTTAACTACTGCTATAACGATTAATAAAAGCAACAAATGAGTATTAATGCAATATTTATTAGTTTAAATGAAATTCATAACTTCTGTACATTTAGAAAATCAGATGAAGGAAGCACCATACGTTTTACTGCTTTCCAATAATTAAAAAAAACTAAAAATTCTAAAAATAAAAAAAAAAAATTGATGCATAAAGCGACGTATAAATGTAATTTCGTGAGTATCTAGGTATGAGTATCTTTTGCTGAAATTTCAAGTATATCGAGAATATTTTCGATAATGCTTTCTGAAGAGCATAACCGAAGGGAGGCGTAAAAGTAACATGGCAAAATATTTTAAGATTTTTTTTTTTCAATTTTCAGACAATTGTTTTAGTTTATTTTTTATTAATTATTGAATTATCTTACATTCTGTCAAAATTAAGAACCTTAATAATTGTTATTTTAACTTGGACATTTAAAATAACAATACATATTAATAAGACATAAGATGGATTAATTTTTTTGGGGGGGGAGGGAGAGGAGGAGAGTGGATAGTGGGTGGTTAATAATATTCATGAATGTTTCATTTATAGTAAAATTGGAATACTTTTGTCAGGTACCAAGAATAGAACTTGAACTATAGAACTTGAAATAGTCAACCTAGAAGTAATTTATATGTACTTTTAAACGTTAAGAAATCATTTTGTTTTCTTTTTAATTATTGGCAGTCTTGTATTAGTTATATATTTATACTGCCTACTTCTTGTGTTTAAATAAATTTTGGGCTTGTTATAAATATATATATATATATATATATATATATATATATATATATATATAATAATAATTGTGGAAAATAATAGATTGTAAATAATTTTTGATAATATCGCCTCATAGAAAAAGTTATAGGTTACCTCACTTTTTAAATTAAATATCGGTATTAAATATTAAGAAGTATGAAGTTGTACGGAAGCTATTGTGGTAATTTCGTATGTTATTATTTATTCCTAATTGCAATTAACGAGTTATTTTATCGAGTTCTCGTAGTGGTTGGGAACAGGCTGGTACTACGGAGGAAAGGCTAAGGAACTTGGATTAGTGCCCAACCGGAAATTGAAAAATTAACGTGCTTTTACTTAACAGCGTGTAAAATTCTCACGCGAGCTCGAGCAGTCACTTATTAAGTGGGTACCCGAGCCTTCCTATGGCCTAGTAGCAATACGTTGAATATACTGACTCAAGTCAACGGTATGTTGTATTACAACACTAATTAATCTCTATAAGATCATTTTCTGCGGTGTTGACATGTAACTATTTTAAACATACATAAATTATTTATTTCATGGGACAACAAGGACACGACTTCACCATTCCAAAAAAAAATTCTTGCCATATAAAATTTTTAAAAACATCATAAAAGGCCCATATAAGATTTAATTTAAATATAAGGTTGGATGTGTAGGGTAGCCCCCTTTTACATTACCATTAAGTTTTAAAAGTTCAATATTAAGTAATTAATTTTATCTAACTGGTTACATTAATTATATTTTATAAAATCGATTATATTGTAATAGTTTAATGTCGTGAATATAATGAGTTGGTTGGGGTGAACAGTCACAAGTAAAAAAGTTAAAAGAAATGATATCTATTTTTGCCAACGTTTCGGCCCAGGGTCCAGGCCTTCACCAGAGCTGTGTTTTCGCGAAGAGGGCTCTTGTGGATGAGCAAAGAGCTCTGATGAAGGCCAGATGTTGTGGCTATAGTATAGCAAAATGAAATGTAATAAAAATTAGTATAAAAATTGAAATAATAATTACAATTTAAAAAAAACCTGTACCACTACAACGCACGATGGATCTTGGGTTCAGAACTATTTAGGGAAAGCAATGTTTATTGGTCTACGGTTGTATACAAGGAGGTGATTTGACCGAGATCACGCTCAACCGCCAGGTTTTTCCCTTTAATTAATTATTTTAATTAAGGGTACCCACATTATTGAGGCTGGGGGGTTTGCCCCAGGAGGGTCTACATATCCAGGGTCGCTTCACTGGCAATGAAACAGAATAAATAATTTTTCTGCCATGAGCCGGGATTCGGAAGCTCAGTACTCTACCACTGAGCAATCCCACTCCCTAATTACAATAATTATCTAATAAAATTACAATAAAAAATACAAAAGTATTTAAATAATGAGCAGAAAAAATTAATTTATTGTTAAAAAAAAATCTGATGAAGTAAAATACAATAATATTAATCTGTATGTATTCAATAATAAAATAAAATATAATCCAGAGGAGTTGGTTGGAGTGAGGAGTCACAAGTAATACTAAAGAAATTATATTTATTTTTGCAACGTTTCGGCCCAAGATTCAGGCCTACATCAGAGCTCTTTGCTCCTCAGCACTTCCAGAATTTAGTTTAATATTATTGTATTTTATTTCATCATTTTTTTTTTATTTAAACAATAAATTAAGTTTGTATACTCATTAGATGAATGCTTTTGTATATTTTATTGTGATATTATTAGATAATTATTTTAATTATCAGTTCAATTTTTTACACTAATTTTTATGGCATTTCACTTTACTGTAATTTTGATTGACTGAAAGAAGAAACGTCTGAAAAAAAGTTAAAGTGGTGAAGTTAATTTCTATCGGTCTCAGAAACCCATAGAGAAATGTATACCTTCACCTAGATCAGAAATATACTATATATTATGTACTTAATTTATTTCAGAGATCTATTTAATGAACACTGCATAACAGCACAATAAACACTAAATGAAATATCTATGTATATAAAAGATATTTAAAATATATTACATAAATAAGTTACAATGATTTAACTTCTACCACCATCCTCCTTTATCTCAAGAGACCGATCTTCTCCGGTCGGAAAATTTTAAGAAGGGATACATGTCACGTATCGGATTGATATGAACATCACGCCAGGATCGGATGGTTTCACTGCGAGCTCCGGCATGTATAATGGATAACTTGTACAGGCCGGGAAGCTTAATATTATTACCAGCATGGATTGATAATTTATTTAAGATATTTCTTTTATATAACTCAAGAGAAGGACGGAATCGAAAGAGACAAATTAGACACCATTGGCATTATGTAACTCTGTTGTGTAATATTCGGTTTATGTTTCACGTCAAATTATTAATTAAATTTGTAACTGTATACAATAATATTATGAGACATATAAATCCACAATATAAAATTCAGTTTAATTTTGGGTTAGTTTTAGAAAGTATGGAGTAGCCGCAACGCACTATAACTTTAATTCGTTAACTGTACCCTTATTCAATGAAAAAAAAAATAATAAACCCTTTTTTTGTATTCCAGAAATCTTAATATATATTATACGATACAAACTCCCTAGATGGACAGAGATTGAGTAGGCTTGTTAAGGCGGGAAAAGATTTACATCTGTATTGCTAACAGACAATAAAAAAATAAAGATATTATTATTTAAATATTTTATTTAGCATCTGTATATTTATCTATACTTGTATAAATGTATACAGTTCTAAATATCAACAAATTAATAATAATAATAAAAAAATGATTGAATAGTACAATACACATAAAATGTCAGGAATACAAAAAAAAAAGTTTTTATTAATTAATATTATTGATAGATTTTACATTGTGGCTTGTTTAAAAAAATAAATAAAAATAATTATTTAGGAAAATTATAGGTTTCAGGTTATAATGATATCTCACTATATGTTTATATTATATATAATATTTTAACTAATAATTTAAATAAATTCTAATAAATAAAAAATATCATAAATAATTAATATTAATGACGTATGGACATGATGCATTAATGACTTTCACTAAAACTATTACCTATTCCATCAAGCTCTTAAGTTGAAAAAAATTGACGACTTAAAGATACGATTAATAAGGAAGTAACGCTTAATGTAAGAAAGAATGATTTTTTTTCTGGCTATATTTTAATGTAAATAGTGTAACGTAAAATAGTGGGTTGGGAAAAAGAAATAACATTTTCATAATTTAATCTATGATAATATTTTAACAGGTTTGGATAAAATTTAGAAAAAAAAAAAAGGAAAATCAAATTTTTATAAAAATCTAGGAATTAAAGTCTTCTAAATTCGGTTCTGTATTCTTTAAGACATTCAGTCACAGTTAACATTTCGGTGTAATGTTATCCATTTTCAGAATTTATTTTTTCATGTTAATAAGTTCAAAAATAGTTTAAACTACCTTCATATCATCATACCAATAAAATAACGAAATATGTAATACACTTCATTCTTATATTATGCAAATAACTATCATTTTGCATTCATAGTTGTATTTTCTTACAAATTATTATTTTTTTTTTTTTTAGAAACATTTCATTCCTATTTGTATTTTTTTTTCTACACATTTTAAGAGGTGAACATAAGTACTATAGATTAAACATATCCAAAAAAAAAAATAATAATAATAAATTTCTATAAAAAAAACACAACTATCTCTTTGTTATATATATATATATATATATATATATATATATATATATATATATTTTTTTTTTTTTTTTTTTTACTTTCACTTCCTGATTACAAGAGCAATTAGGATTTTTCTCAAAGTATTGTTCATTCAACGATTATTTTTTTACAGGTCAAGAATAAGATCTAAAGTTTTTTTTTTTATTGTTTTTATCCATGAAATTGTTGGATTAACTAGTATTTCGGTTGAATTAAAAAAAACTACTGAACATAACGGTATCAGCAACCGGAAGTTATAGATATATAACGGAAACGGCATCTTTTTCATAATACATAATATTGACAGTAATTTTCTGTTTATCAGTAAAACTGTACTCACTGCAGGTCTCCATATCTATATCCATCGTTGATGGTATATCATCACAGGGATCCAATATATCCAGCTGCCCGAAGATGGGTCGAGTACGGAGGTTGAGGAAGGAGGTGGAGTTGCTAGCATGCCCAAGGTTCGGTTCCGGCCAGGAGGAGCAGGCTGCCAAGACTGGCTACCATTGTCCCAGGAGCCGCAGGAAATGGAGGGGTGAGGGAGTATCCGGCGTACCCTTTATCGGTACGCCACCAGCCAGGGAATTAAACTCTTGGGTATCTAAGGCGCCCGATATCTCGTATCTCGTATCCAAGATAATGGTTTATTTTTTTTACCGCCGCGTGTCGCTAATAGGGTTCATCGGTTCCTTCGGGTCATCTCCATGTTTTCTGTGAACTCGTACGCTCTTCTATCTACCTCGCCCATTCATAAGAACATATCTCATTCATTGAGTTGATTTAGTGTTTCTTTTTTTAATACTTCCGCTTAAGATTTTGCCAAAAAAAATATATCTGATTTTTTTTTTTTTATATGTTTTCTTTCCTCAATCGAAAGAGAGATTTTCATCATAGTTTTAAGGATTGGCGGATCCAAGATTTATTTAATCTATTTTTTTTTAAACGGCAGACTTAGCGCACCGGTGATGGACATTAGCTAAGGAATTTGTAGGACCTTTTTTTTCTATTTAATACTTTAAAATTGAAAAAAAAAAATGAGTTATGAAGGTATAATCTCCATTTTAAAAAACACCTGTTTACACTAGTGATGGACACCTCGAAATTAATTGTTCTAGTAATGGATAAGCTGGATGACCTGTTCATAACTGGTGCGTATATAATAATTAGTCCGGAAAAATAAGAAAGAAACTACCTATGATGATATGATGTTTAAGTGTTCTTAAAAGCATATAAAGAGAGAGATAGAGAGAGAAAGCAAGGAAAGATGTAATTACAGGAAACGTAGATAATGCTTCTAGAGTTAAAGTTTTTATATTTATTTCATGACAGGTTTTTACCTTTAGTGGCTGTATATCCACTACATTTAAAAATAGGACGTATAACAATTGCTAAGTATTTGACTTGGATCACTTACAGGAACAAATATAGACCAATGAAAAAAAAAATTCATTTTCTTCTAATTTTTCTTTAAAAAGGTCCATAAAATTTCAAATCGTGGTATTCACTACAGTAATACCCCGTTTATCACTACTAATATATATATATTATTGCGGCCTATTTCGGATTGTGTAAAATAATGAACAATGGTATAATCAATAAATAGAAACAAAACATGAAATTAATTACATTTATACAAAGTGAAGCTTAAATAATAATTATTCAATGAAGATTACTTATAATATCCTTTTATCGGTCCTTTTTCAAGAAGAACAACCACAAAACATATTTTGAAGGATTTCGATAAAAGGTGTGAACAGACTAAATATGTAAAAAATAAAATAAAATAAGTCGAAGGGTCGGCTTAAACCAAAATATTCTGTCTTATTTTTTAATCATAATTAGTTCAGCTTTTAAAATATATTTTTTTTATTTTAGTTTTTTTAACGTGGCTTCGACTGCCGTGGCCATTAGCGAAGATTGTATTGTTAGATACGATTCGTTAATTTCATTAGTTTAATAAAGTGAGGTATTTTTTCAATTCCTTAGGTTTCTCGATATGAGACGATGTTCTCAATTTTTAGTTTTAATCGTTCTTCACGATATTTATTGCATTGAAATAGGTTTTGAACGGTGAGGTTTAGATTGTCACATTCTTGGCAAGTTGGTTGGCGAAGGCCTAAAAGCAGATGTAGATGTGTCAATTTAGTAAGTCCAATTCTTAATTCAGCTTTGGTGTTGGATTTTTCGGAAGTATCCTAGCATGGTTGTTCTCTTTGTACCAGCGGAGCTGACTAAATGGTAATCGTTTCCACTCTTCATTCCAATTATTTTTACTTTTATTATGATGTCTTGCGGCCATACTTTGACGAAAATCGATCTGACATAAGGTGGATAGGGACTTCTGAAAGCATCTTTTGTTCCTTCATCAGCTCATTCATTCCCTGTTATGCCTGTGTTTATGCTATATTAAAATATTATAGTTACTTTAAACGAATTATGTACATGTTGTGAAAAACAAAAAGTATTTAAGGTACGGTTTAAAATCTATATTTGAAAATCTAAGTTGTTTAAAAAACTTTACACTTAAAAAAAAAATATTTATATATATTTACAAAATTTCTTCTTTCCGCCTTTGAGTATTACATTTTAACATAATTATTTAAATTGGGAATTAGGTCACTTAATTATTATTCAATAAACTACAGAATGTCATTGATCCTACTGTTTAATCGACGTTTGTGAGGCTGTAGGTGTGTCCCTGGCCAGAGGTATCGAGGCTCTAATTTAAAACATTGAAGAGGATTTTAAACCTATGTTAACTTAAACAAAAGAACGGTATTGAAACGTCGAATAAACAGCAGGATCAATGAATATTTTGTAGTTTATTGAATAATAATTAAGTTACTTAATTCTAAATTTAAATAATTATGTTAATATATATATATATATATATATATATATATATATATATATATATATACACACATATTAGTTTCATTTTATTTCTTAACATTATATCAGTATGATATTTGTTAATCTAACAATGCTAATAACGCCAAATATCTACTTAATATTCAACTCCTGTATCCACATAGTTCGTAAGCGGTCAAACTTTTTTAGCGTAGAGGGGGAGGGGAGAAAACAAAACAAATACGAGTGCTTCCGATAGTGGGGGAAACTGCAGATTCCAAGATGGTACATTTAAGATGCGGAGTGCGTTCCTGGCACCAAAAATAGCGAGCTTACCATGTGAAGAAAAACCGAGGTCGTTTCAAGTGCGCATAGCAAACCCAACTCGCATCATGAGGTATAAACATGCTTATGTAAGGGATATGCACAATACCTCTACGAGGCGACTCCCAAACATATATATATATATATTCAATGAAGATTACTTATAGTATCCTTATGTATATATATATATATTCGAATTAATATAATCAACTAGGTTATTTTATACTTAGCTACACAATTATAAAGTTTGATTGTTGTATAGTACGGATTTATATGTGTTCGTTCTATGATTTATTTGTTCAGAGGTTAATTTATTTTTTCTGATACTTCGTTTATGGATCGACTTTGTGGTCAGTAAGTCCTCTTAAGGCACATTCAGCCACTGTAGGAGAATGATCCTTGTTGGGTTGAGCGTTGAGCATGGGTCCTAACATCTCCTATTATAATGGTCAAGAAACTATTCTTTAACAAATACTAAACCCAAGACCCACTTCAGATTTTTTAATCTTGTTTATTAAAAAAATATTACATTTTGTCTCAATTAAGGACGATTATAATTTCATTAAGAAAATAAAAAATTAAACTTCAAAAAGTAAAATAAACATCTTAAACGCAGTCTTTTGCACTTTTTATAATCATCCATGAAACCCCCAACCGGTCTTGTCTCTACACAAATGAGAAGGAATAAGAGAGACTCCAAAATATCCCAAAGCTTCTCTTTCAACTGCGCCACTGGTATAAAATATTAAAGATTTTAATGTAATAGGTCTTTTTTTTTTTTTTAATTTAACATATACGAAGATCGGAGTGGTCGAGATGGGAGGAAATTAATATTAAACTTATTCATATTATTCGCATCAATATTTAAAGCAATTGTATATGAGATTTCATTAACATTAAAAAATAAAACCATATTTTTCCATGCTAAATTATTTAAAAAATAAATGTTGAAATCTGTCTATCTTTGGAGTAATAAAAATGTCGACAAATCGGCGAGGTTATCATATCAGGAACGGATTAAGAGGTATTGTTTGGGAGGGTAACTTATCACGGGATAACAGAATTGTGAAGAAATATTGCCGTATTTAAGATAGGCACTGTAATATATCGATTAGCTAACTATTTAATACCTAGAACTATTTTTTTTAAAACTATTTAGTCAAGATATTTACAACTGTATTACAATGTAAATACAAAAAATAAATGAGTACACAAGAATATAATCACTCAAAAACACTTGTTGAGAAACTAACTACAGGTAGCACTCTAACAATATGTCTACTTAATGAGATCACGGGTCCATCTTCTTTTCAGACGCCTCGGAGGGTTATCAGGAGTTGAAGAGGAAGCAAGGTTAGAAACGAGAGGATTCAGATGGTTATGAAGTTTATTATGGAAGGATAGATATCTGGATTGGGCCAAATTGGAAACATATTGAACATTAAGGTCATTATGGATTATTTTATTTGTGACAAAGTAAGAAGCATCGAGGATTTTAGGAATGATTTTGGATTGTAAGGATTGGATACGATAGGAATTTGATGATTTAGTGGAGCCCCATAGCTCAACTCCGTAAGTCCAAATATTTCTTAGTATAGTCATGTATATTAGTCTTTTGTAATTAATTGGAAGTTTAGAGCGTCTGTTAAGTAAGTGTTGGAGTAAGCGGAAAAGTCGAGCAGTTTCTTGTCGTTTCAGTACTGCATGAGAATTCCAAGTGAGACGTTTGTCCAGGTGGAGTCCAAGATATCGTATTTGTTCAACAGGGATAAGTGGAGTGTTATTAAAGCATACTGTAGGACAGGAAGTCATAGGTTTACGACGCCTAGAACTATTTAAAATCGATTATCGTATGCACAGATAAGGTAATTAATTAATTTCCTAGATGTATGTACAACGATAAATATCCCGCAAGGTGAGAAAATTATTATTTTTTCTCTTTCAAATAAATAATAATTTTTTCATAAGCATGGATACTAGTAGGTATAATTTCAGGTTATTTTGGGAGGGGAAATTTACCCCCTTTTTCCTCCCGTTGATCCGTCAGTGTATCATATGAGATGTTTTCTATGATTTTAAGGTTTTGTTACAAAGGATTTATTTCAGAGTGCGTCAAGAGATGCCTGACATGAAATTTGAGTAGCCTTACTGAGAATTCCTCTAACATGTTTGATGCATTTGAAGGTGCCGGCAATCCATGAATAATACAACACCAATCAGGCCCAGGAGTAGCAGAGCCGAAAAGATTCCAGGGACCCCCCCGGTGGATTGTATTCCGTCCAAGGATTAAAAATAAATGGGATTATAAATAAATAATAAATAAAACTGAGTGAGAAATGTATCTTTTTAAAATCTTCTCAAAACAGAGCAAGATCCTTTTTATGATGAAACAATTTTAAAAAAACATAAAGTTAATAATTAATTTGTTACTGTTTCTTTGTAGTCATTACATTTTTTCGTGGATTTTTATATTTACAATTATTTTGTAATTTATTACACATTAGAGGAAGATGATTGTTTTTGTATTTTGTCTTGTTAAATTATGTAAAAATTAAATGTTGAAACCTAGCTCACATAGGAGTAATAAAAATACATTATTGAATAAATTAATACTAAAAGGGCCGAAATAAAGCTACGACTGTTACTTTGTTCGTATTTGGAAAATATTTCAAGACAAAAATATGATATATTATATATATATATATATATATTTTTTTTTTCATATACCTATTGTTCAATTTTCATATTTATATTGAATATTTAATAGTTGACCGTTGCATT